GTGTGTGTGTGTGTGTGTGTGTGTGTGTGTGTGTGTATGTGTGTGTGTATGAGAGAGAGAGAGAGAGTGTGTGTGTGTGTGTGTGTGCGTATGTGTTTGTACGTGTGCACGTGTGTGCGTGCGTTCGTGAGTGTGCGCGTGTGTGTAGCGTTACCGACTAATCAATCAATCAATCAATCAATCAATAAGCTTCCCGTGACATAGGTAGTTGATAAGTGCATGCTGTCACTTATAGGGTATTGTCTATATCAGACAACAGCAGCACTTGAGAGTCTACTGTAGTAGTAACAACACACACCAAAACCTCGCCTGCCATCGTCATCATAATCAGTAATCAGAGACGGAGGCTGAGCAATTACCTAAGTGTGGATTTTCTAAGTGCTTTTCTAAGTCTCTTACTTGAGTGTGGATTACTTAAGTGTGACTTTCAGTGGCGGATCGATGATTGCAATGAGGGGGTGAGAAACAGGTGTGGGGGTCTGGGGGTCCTCCCATCGAAAATTTTGAAAATGTAGATCGCAGGAGATGGTATTTGAGGAAATTTTGAGTACATGTACAGCCTTCATTCTGACTACGACGGTTCTCTTTTAGTAGAACAATTTATTTTTTTAATTTTGCTCCAAAATCTAGAAGGGGCAGCTGCCCCCTCGCCCCCTGCAGGCTACGGACCTAGTAATGCGCTACTGAATACGATAGCACGTGTCGGATCGAAGTGTGTTTAGTTGCTGCACGCCATGGGATGCGAACCAATTAACAGGTTAATTGATGCCGGATTGTTACGCGAAAAACATCTCTCTGTAATTTTAGCTGAAGTTCACAATAAACAAACACGCCTCTTTTATAGGCCTCCATAAAGAGAAACGCGGGAAGACCCTAATTTTACCGGAAACGTTATTAAAAGACACGAGAAAATTGTGTAAAAGTATGGTGTTCAATGTTCAGTATTAAAACAACAATAACGCGATGATACCTTGTACAATACACAAGGTATCGCTATGGATTTTAGCATAGAATGTGTGCGCGTGGAAACACTTCGCTTTAGTCCCTTCACGTTACTTAGGATCCCCTTCGCATTACCATCGGCAGTAGTTCCCCCTTCTCCATCACTTCGTTGAACTCTTTGCTTCTCTCAGATCCAGACGCGACCTCCGCCCTCAGCAGGTCTCCCGCAGAAAGCTGTGTGAAGCCATACTTCTCTACGATCTTTGCACACTGGGTTCCTTTACCCGAACCAGGTCCTCCTGAAAGCGTCATAATACTGCGCTTGATAGAAGAAGAAATACGGACTAGCACACTAGAGGGGGCTGATTCCATTGAGGGCATCCGGGGTTTTGGCAGAAGTATCCGGCGCCATGTTGACAACGCTGACTAGCTCCCATCAGTCGCAGTTGTAATATGTTAGTGTAGGTTTATTCTGTCTGAGGTGTTTTTTTTACGTTTCTTTACCTGTAGCGTCGTTAGGTTCTTCTAACGTGTGTTGTCTCGACAAATGTGATGTGTTGTTATAATTCCGGACGATGCTATAAAATGCAATAGGTTTTTATGCTATTGAGTTTGTGTGTGTGAGAGAGAGAGAGTGTGTGTGTGTGTGTGTGAGAGAGAGAGAGAGTGTGTGTGTGTGTGTGTGTGCGTATGTGTTTGTACGTGTGCACGTGTGTGTGTGTGTGCGTGCGTTGTGTACCTGTAGCGTCGTTAGATTCTTCTAACGTGTGCTGTCTCGACAAATGTGATGTGTTGTTATAATTCCGGACGATGCTATAAAATGCAATAGGTTATTATGCTATTGAATTTGTGTGTGTGCGAGAGAGAGAGTGTGTGTGTGTGTGGGTATGTGTTTGTACGTGTGCACGTGTGTGTGTGCGTGCGTTGTGTACCTGTAGTGTCGTTAGATTCTTCTAACGTGTGCTGTCTCGACAAATGTGATGTGTTGTTATAATTCCGGACGATGCTATAAAATGAATAAGTTATTATGCTATTGAATTTGGCACCTAAGTGTAATCTAAGGTATTCCGTTTCATCATTCCAGTATGTTTTCCCAAATATGTCTATTTCCCCGTCGGGTTTCAGTGTTGACGCTGCCCTCCGTATCGATCCAACAATATATATATACTCACCAACGACAAATATAATGACTAGGTTCCCTTCTTTCAGCACAGAAACATCTATGCCAACATCACCCGATGATGTTACCTCGGCATTTTCATCTGGAATAAAGAATGGTGAACGCTATTCACACACGGTCGTTGCCTTGCGTTCTCGTTTCTGTACTGCTTTTGTATGAATACCGACTGATACTTATCCTGTTAGCGAACACGAAATGAATTGTTGAACAGTTGCTCACGCGTTTGCGTGTGTGTGTGTGTGTGTGTGTGTGTGTGTGTGTGTGTGTGTGTGTGTGTGTGTGTGTGTGTGTGTGTGTGTG